AGCGTGCCCTATTCCCTTAAAGACTGCAGGAAATCAGAGGTTTTAAAGTCCATCCTTTGGGGGTTCTGGACAGCTCCATGTGGTGTGGAAACTATCTCTAGTTGTTTCTGAGTGACTGGCACTGACTCAAGGAGGTAGTCACAGCGGGGCCTGGTAAAAATGGGGGTTCTGGGAGGTCAGGCAGTCCTGCCTCAAGGGGACAGGAACAGGGTTGGGGCAAGGGCCAGGGAGATAAAGAAGGATTCTAGTCACCAGGATTAAATTTGACTTCCAGGGCAAACAATTTATCTGCAAACATCCCTCCCCTAGTTTGAGTGTGAACGCAAGCATTTTCCTTCAAACAAATAGGCTTACAGGCAGTACAGTACAACTCAGCTTACTGCTTCATTTTTCACACAGAGAGCCAGCATTCGCCAAGCGCCCGGTATATTCCAGACCCTGTACTTCACACACTGACACAAAGCAAAATGCATCAAAATGAAAGAGGGTTCAGCCTGTCCTTGTATGCCCACCTCTATCATCTGTGGGGCCTGGGGCAAAAGTACAAATGGAGGCCCTGTAATTACTACTTTAAAGTGCTAATCAAGCTAGCAAACTGGCACATAATCCTCCACCCTTGACAAATCTAGCTTTATAACCAGCTGGAGTCCAGGTAGGTACAGTTTAGAATTCTCGGAGCCCTCAGAGTTGCAGGACAGACTGGAAAGAACAGCGCTGGCCAATGAACAGATGCCTTCCCTTCCCCACCCAGGCTCTGCCTCGCCCCAGGGAGGCCTCAGCACACATTTGCAAGCTATTCCACAACCCCACACAGCACAGCTGCCCCTGCGGGCGCTCCTCAGGGATGGAGTCTGCCCTCTCTGCTTGAAAAGGCCCTGAAGACAAGCTTGGGGGCTTGGGGCAGAGAATTCCATCAGTGTCTGGGGCTTGAAGGTCAGTGAGGACTCAGCTCGGTGGGGAGGGGCACAGCCTGGGGAAGGTCAGACCCTGACCTCTAATCGGGGGCAGTAGGAGTAAGGGGTTTCCTTGCACAGGTCCAAAGCACACTGACTAAAGCCTTCTCTATTTTATTCTAACTGGGTCGACTTTTCTTTCCTTAAGGCTTTCTAGGAGGGAGACTCCTTATATCAAACACACACTCACGCACACTCACTGGTAGAAAGAGAATTTCTGTATGGAATGTATGAAGTTAAAAAAGCTGAAATACTTGCAGCTGCTCTAGAGATTTGGCAGCTGAAACACTGGTCTGAAAGAAAGAAAAGGTAAATATTCCTCAAAAAGCAAATGGATTGAACAGAATTCTAGAAAGTCAGAAAGATAGGGTCCTTGTCCTAGGGCATAAATTGGGCAAACCTTAAACGTTTCTTTCTGTTTTGGGAAATGTGTCCTACCTAAAGCGGACCCCCCCCCCCCCAGAAAAAAAAAAAAAACACAGATGAACTAGCAGAAGCACCTGGGACCACAAAGTCAGAATCCTAGGAACCACTGCCCTGAGTCAACTGGGCAGGGGAGTTTGGGGTGGGCTGCAAACAGAGAAGCCTCCCAGAGAGAGGCAAGCTGAGGGGGGCACAGTGGTGGGAGGGGGAACCTTGGGGTGAGTGGCCAGGACCTGGGCTTCACCACTGACCTGGTGTCTGCTTTGCCTTTTCTTGGTCAAGTCAATTTGCCAACTTTCTGCGCCTTCATTTGTAATTCTCTAAATGGGGTTATCTGCACGCATCACTTGGCGGTGGTGCCCAAGAACTCAGCTCAATCCCTCACTTGGTAACCGCTCAGTCAACGGGTCCTTATTTAGAACTGAGAGCGCAGGGGCCAGCGCTAGAGCTGAACTCAAGTTGTGGATCAGGCAGCTCCCCGCCACCAACCCGACCTGCACATCCCAGATGAGTGTCTGCAGAATCCTCCCCTGGAGGCGGAGGGGTGAGGAGGTCGAGGCTTTAGGGACAGAGGCAAACCAACCAGAACAGCTGGGGAAAGGCACACACAGGTCAAGAGTTCATCTCAACCCTGTTTGGGAATAGTCGAAAGTCACCGGGTTGGAGGTGCAAAGGGCCGGCGTCTAAGACGACTTGTCAGCCCCTGGGATTGGAAGAAGCCGCGCCGCACACCGCTGGGCGCAGGGCCCCGCAGGGAAGGTGTCACTCACCCAGCAGCAGCAGCTTGAGCTCGCGGCGCGCGTCCTTCTTGTCCCGGCGAAGCTGCCGCTCGATCTCGGCGCTGATGCGCTGCGACTCCTTCTCCTCGGCCGACAGGCAGCAGCAGCCGGCCATGGTGCGCGCCGCGCAGCCCGCGGACGAAGAGGCCCGAGCGCCCCGATCCTCCGCGCGCCGCTCACTGGGCCGACCCGAGAGCAAGTCAGGAGGGGGCCGACTCGAGTTTCGGGGGAGAAACCTGGGCCTCGGGGGTTCGATCCTCCTCGCGGGGCGGGCTCCGAGGCGGGGTGAGTCCGGGGCACTGGGACCCCCCAAGTGCCCCGGGGACCGGGGCTCAGGCAGCCCGCCCCTCGCTCCGGGAGAAGAGGGGCGCCGCTGCGCTGCGCTGCGCTCCCGCTGGGGGCGATGCCGGCTCCGGAAGATGCGCGCCCCTTGGCACGGGAGCCCGACGCCCAGTCAGAGGGCGCAGACCGCAAGTAAAAAGTTGGGGCGTCGGTGCCCGGAAAAGCGGACGCTCCCGGGGCTGGGGGTACCCCAGGCAGGCTGCAGGCACGGGGTCGGTCAGAGGCAAAGGTCCTGGCTGTGCCTGGCCTACAGAGTCCCGAATACCTCAGCAGTGACCGAAGACTCAGACCAAGTGGAAAGGTCCGGGCCGGCACTTATGGCTCAAAGTGCCAGGAGGAGGCGGAGCGTCTTGAACCTGCAACCCTGGCCTCTGCACACCAAGCCTTGGGGCACACCACGCCGGTGGCGCCTGTGGGTGAAAGGCGGAGAGCAGGGTAGGGGTGGGGGGTGGGTGCTAGAGTCTTCGGGAGCAGCCCCCACACCTGCCCCCCTGGCTGTGGCGTCTGGGCGTGGGGAGAGCCGCCCGCCCAGGTTGCCGTGACCGGCGCGCTCTGGCCGCCCGGCCCTGCTCCCTGCCTAAATCCGGGTTCCGACAGGTGAGCGCGTTTCACCAACTCCCAGCCTCAACTCTCCCCAGCTGCAGGAGTGGAGGGCAGCCAAGCGCTGCCGGGCGACACAGCGTGCCGGGGGCCACCACACCCTGGTCTCCTACACCGGCTCCTTCAGCTTCCCGATGCCCCAAGTCCAGCTCGGGCTTGGTCCAAGCCCCTGGTCAGCTCTGCCGCTTGCCTTCCAGGTGCGGCTAGCCCTGAGCCGGCTGGCGTTGCGCTCAGAGAAGCAGCTGCCACTGGGCTCAGTTAAATAAGAGAAATCCAAGAGCCAAGAGTAAATATCCTCCCAGCCCCTTCCTACCCCCGGACGAGGAGGGCTGGGGATGCGGGTAATGGAAAACGGCTGCTGCTTTGCATTTTATAACGAAAAGACTCCTGCTATGCAGAGAGGAGAGCTGATTCGTTTCCAGCAACACCTGGCCTGTTCCCGGCCTCAGCACCTAGCAAAGGTGTGTCCGCACAGCCAGGTTGGCCTGGCTCCTGGAACGTTGGGAGCAAGTTTGAGCTGCATTGATAATAATAATAATAATAATACGCACGTAAAGATTGAAAAGCACCTCTTTGTACTCAAATAGCATTATAAAATGCAGATTACAGCATCTGATTTTGTCTTCTGTGTTGATTTTGAGGCAGAGCGCAAATAGGTTCACGGGAAAAGCAGAAAAAAAGGGAAAGGGAGAGGATCCTCGGTACACAGAACGGAACGTTGTTTTTTTGTGGGGTTTTTTTGTTTGTTTGTTCTGTTCTTCAAGTCAGTATATGCCATTTAAACCACTTTATGGCGTTAGGTAATTAGCTAATGCTTCCTCTACTAAGAGCAAGCAGCAGTGCCTTTCATATGAGTCGCATACATTTAATCAATTCAAATGGAGCATATTGAGTGGAGAGAATGGTATGTGTCATTATATAAAGAAGTTGGCATTATGATGCTATCTGGCTGAAGATCTTATTTATTTTGCAATTTAGAGAATGTAGACAAATCAGGCGTTGAAAATGAATGTGTATTCTTAAATGCATGACTTCATTTTCATCTGTTACTGACTTGTAGACAGTAACAGTGACCCCTACAGGAAAGCTCAACATTTCCCATTTAATCCTTGGCCATTTAGTCACACATATCTCCCTTAGCCTACAGATTCATTTACAATTTGAGAATAAGATCTAACTCCTTAAACTAATAGCTGCATCATAATTATTTGTATTTTTAGTTATTAAAATTAGGGCAAATTTGAACACATTATTTTGAATAATTGGTCTAAAGTTGCTAAGATTTCAGAAACGATATAAATTATTATTTATGGTAAATCTGTGAAACTTTCCTGGGCTATACAACTTAGTAGTATGTATCAGAAGCCTTGAATGTGTCCCTCCCTTTTGACCAAACTGGTACTTCTCCCCTTAAGAAATAATCAGATAGAAATCATGATTTAGGTGCAAAGGTTTTATTTCTAATAACAACAATAATGCAAAATAACCTAAATGCCCAACAACAAGGAATAGGTCACATAAATTATGGTATATCCATCCAATGAGATATTATATAGTGACTGTGAATATGTGAGTGACAAATTTGCAAATAAAGATTTTGGGGGGGGACTCATAATATATTTAGTAAAAAAGGCAAGATACAAAAATATAAACAATATGATACAAATTTTACCATGGGAACACACATAGGCATTTTTAAGAAACTAAAGGGACATATACTCACAAGATAAGTTGCTCTGAGTCATAGCTCTTTGGTTGGTGTTAATTCCCTGATATAAAATTATTTGGAGCAGCTCTATTAAAGTCATGTAGGCCCCACTTTCCTCTACTGTAAAACAAGAGGGATGAACCAGATAAAGCTCAACGGGATCTCCCAAATGTACCATTCAATTCTTTTATGATTTTCACACTTACATGGTAGCATTAAAAAAAATCATAAACCTGTTTTTTATTGAGCATTGGTAGCTAGTGAGAACTATAAACTAGGATATCACAGGTCAATTATTTTTATAATTGACTACTAGAGGCCCAGTGCATGAAATTTGTGCAGGGTGGGGGGTTGTCCCCTCAGCCCAGCCTGCACCCTCTCCAATCCGGGACATCCCTCTCACAATCCTGGACCGCTGGCTCCTAATCACTCACCTGCCTGCCTGCCTGGTTGCCCCTAACTGTTCCCCTCCCCGCTGGCCTGATCACCCCTCATTGCCTCTGCATGCTGGCCTGATAGCCCCCAACTGCCCCCTCCCTGCCGGCCTGGTCACTCCTCACTGCCCCCCACCCCCCCGCCAGCCTAATCGCTCCCAACCACCCCCCTCTGCTGGCCTGGTCACCCCCAACTGCCCCCCCCCCCACGCGGGGATTGACGCCCGTGAAAGATCCCTGGGGGGCTGGGCAGCACCACGTGACTCCATTGTTAGGGAATTTGGCCGCCCCTCACTAACCCCCGGGCAGCTGGGAAAAGCAACCAGTTGGGAAGGCAGGAGACTGAATTTCAAAACACTCATCTATAATATAGGAATATATTTTATTCATGTTATCTTCAGGATCTGGGAGCAGGATGAGAATAATTTTAAGTTATTAGTTTATTTGCAACATCTTACCAGGAAGGGTAGTTTTGAAAAGAGATTTTAGTGAAAGAGAATGTTTGTTTTTCTAAAGTGCTACAATTCCGTGTCATTCTCAAAGAACAGAGCATAGCCTGGACATGTGTTTCAGATACCTGCCAAGTGCTGGGCCACGAAGGTGAGCTCATTGAAATTCCTTTGAATGTCCTTTGAATCCATGCCAAGCCCTGTACCAGGCACTGGGGGTTTAGATAGTAAGACCTTCCAAACTTTAGGTTGACTGTAGTCTAGTAGAAAGAAGTAAGACTGAGACCCTGAAATCTGAACCCACCGCTTCTTGCTTCCTCCCAAAGAGCAGACAGTGAGAGCTCAGAGTCACCCGGGTGACTCTCCACAGTCCACAAATGTGCAGAGCGGGCCCTTCAGCTGAGCCTCATTTCCTGTCACTCTGCTGTAACTCCAGAAAAATGTAACTACATGTTCTCACCGCTTCCATGTCTTAGCACACGCTGTTCCCTCTTCCAGCAGTGTCATCTCACCCTAGGCAAAATTAGCTAGGTACTTTCCCAAACTCCTCTGTTCTGAGAAGCCATTCCACCCCTGTTTCAGTTAGACCCATCTCTCTCTGCTGCCTGAGCACTTTCCGTGTCCCTCTCTTTAATATCTCGCTCTATTTCACTTGTTGGTTTCCCCTCCTGATCCATTAGTTTCTCACAGGCGGAGAGTTTTTCTTGTTCATCCTGGTATTTCTAAATTAATAAAATGTAGTTGACTGAATAAAATTGAAAACAAGAAGAATTAGCCAGAGACAAGAGAAAGAAACTCAAAGAGAGAAAAGGAAGTTCTTGTGATGGAAGACAGCAAAAAACCAACAAGTCTATTGTTGTAACAAATCAATGTGTGATTTAGGAAAGACTTGGGTCCCCAATTTGCCCCCAGAGAGGAAGTGACTGCCCTATTTCTAATTCAGAACTATGAGGAAACGTGCAAGTAGAGGACTGGGAAGATGCTGTTCTCTTGGACAAATGTGCCACCTTAGAACTTTAACAAGTAACATAAAGTAAACATATGACCTTGAAATTTACAAAGTTGAAATAGCACTAATACTAATGCACCGATGGTGCTCTGTGGCAGTGTTTTTCAAACTGCAGTTGTGACCTATTCCTGGGTTGTGGCAATCTTTTTTTTTTATAAGAGAAAAACACAAAATATAAATAGAAAATATCAAAGTATGCTGCAGGTATTATTGTTTCATGAAACTTTTGCTTCCAGTATATACATAGGTATCAAATGTTAGGCAGATCAATCATCATTGAAGGTTTGCTTGTCCTTACCCCAGGCAGGTAGGACTAAATGATTCTCAATTTTCTAATTCATTTTTGAGACCAACATGTTCCTAATTTTTCATTCAATTTTCTGAGCCCAGTCTGCTCTCTATAATGTTTTGAATTCTTCTCCCCCTCTTACCACTCCCAGCCATTTCCACCACCACCACCCCCACCCCCATCATCTCTAGTTTTGGATGAGCATGGTAAGTTAGAGATATCTATTTTTTTAAATATATTTTTATTGATTTCAGAGAGAAAGGGAGAGGGAGAGAGAGATAGAAACATTAATAATAAGAGCCCACAATCTGGGCATGTACCCTGACCAGGAATGGAACTGTGACCTCCTGGTTCATAGGTCCACGCTCAACCACTGAGTCATGCCCAGCT